AGACACCTCGGGGCCGAGGTTCGAGTCTATCTCGAGCTATCGAGGGTAGTCGGGAAGGGGATAACAGGTAAAAATATAGCTAAGCAAGGCTCTATATTATCAATTTTGAGCAAAGTAACAAAGAACAAATGAGAAAACGATAAAGTGCTAAGGCATACTCGAGGCCAATGAAGATAGACAATTTTGAAGAAAGAGAGAGAGAGAGAGAGAGAGAGAGAGAGAGAGAGAGAGAGAGAGAGAGAGAAAGAGATATTATTGCATTTGTGGAGAAATGGAGCAACATCATTCCCTTACAAGGTAAGGTGAGTCCCCCTTATATAGGCGAGGGGACTCAGTACAGTACAGGGTGTATTAAATGTAAAGATACGGGGATGGGATGTCTGGACAAGACACTAGAACCTATTGATTCTGGCTATCTCCTCGGGAGTTTCTCATCTTCGCGACTTCTGCTAAGTTGCGGACAGATCCTCTGACCCTCGAGCTACTGCAGAGCCGCGGATGATATTCGAGATAAGGAACTCGATCACAATCCCATGGACTCGATATGATGTTAGGGTACTCCGAACATACCTCAATGGCGGGAAATGGATTCCCCTGATTTTACCGCACATAGATTTCATTGAAAAACTACCCAAGTCCAAGGGCAGAACTCTTATTTAGGTCATTGTGGATAAGTTAACCAAATATGGTCGTTTCATTGCCCTAAATCATCCTTGCTATGCACAATCATTGGTGCCTATATTCTTGGATCATATCAATAAGCTTCATGGCTTTCCTACCACAATCACTAGTGATATGGATCCCATTTTCATCAGCTCTTTTTTGGCAAGTATTCATGCCAGTCCATGGTGTTACGTTGCAGACTTCTACTGCTTATCATCCTCAAAGTGAAGGGCAAACATAGGTCTTGATTATATGTTTGGAGACCTATCTAAGATGCATCTGTGGAGACACTCTCTCTGATTGGTCCTCTTTCCTACCCTTTGCAGAATGGTGGTATAATTCTAGCACTCATTATGCCATTCAAACTTTCCTTTTTGAGTTGTTATATGGCTATTCTCCTCCATTACATTTGACGTATCTTCCCGGTGATTCCTCCTTAGATTCTATTGAAGAAGTTACATTGCTTAGGGAATTTAAATTGCAGTTAGCAAAGTTTCATTTAGCTAGAGCACATCAGAGGATGCAAAGCTAGGCTAATGCTCATAGAACTGATAAAAGTTTGTTATTGGCATAAGGTTTTTGTTAAACTACAAGCCTACAGGCAATCCACCTTGGCCCTTATCCAATTGCAGAAAGAGTTGGCTTTGTTGCCTACAAATTACTCTTACCTCCTAAAGTCCAAGTACACCCCATCTTCCATATTTCCTAACTTAAATTTTGCTATGGCCTTCTTTCTGAAATCGTTCACCCCCCTGTCATTGATATTTCCAATCCCTTATGTCCATTCCCGGAAGCTATACTTTCCAGAAGACTCTTAAAAAAGGGCAACAAGGTTGTTTCCCAATGCTTGGTCAAATGGAAGTATCTGGACAGTTCATATGCAACATGGGAAGTTGTCGCTACTTTGAAGACCAAGTCTCCTTCTTTCACCCTTGAGGACAAGGGAGTTGCTCATCAGGGAGGTATTGATACAAAAATAACAGCTGCAAGTGACGTGGATAGCTGATTAGGCAGCTGAGTAGACAAATTCAAACGGCAGCTAGAACTCTTCTTTTACATTTCACTTCTGCGGGAAAGTTAGTTAAGAGAGTCACACTTTATGCACATGTTATTTTGAATTCCTTTCAATTGTCAATTAGTATAAGTAGGGTGATTGTAATAGATACCTTATGCAATTATCATAATATTAATCTAATTTCTCTTCTCTCCTCTTCTTTCTTCTTCTCTTATATTCAAATCACCGTCCCATCTACCAATTTGGTATCAGTTGCAAGTGACGTGGATAGCTGATTAGGCAGTTGACTAGACAAATTCAAATGGCAGCTGGACCTCTTCTTTCACATTTCAGTTTGGCAAAAAAGTTAGTTAAGAGAGTCACACTTTATGCACCTGTTATTTTGAATTCCTTTCAATTGTCAATTAGTATAAGTAGGGTGATTTTAGTAGAGACCTTATGTAATTATCACAATACAAATATAATTTCTCTTATTCTGATTCTCTTCTCTCCTCTTCTTTCTTCTTCTCTTATTTTCAAATCACTGTTCCATTACTCGACTTGATACCAATTTGGTATCATAAATAGCCATTCCCACCAGTAAATATAATAATTATATATAATTTATATATATTGGCTAGAAAATTAAATAATGAATTTAGCCACTTATTTGTGTAAAAATTCCAATTTTTTATGTTATTAAGTCAATTGAAAGAAATAATAAATTGAAAATAAGATATTAAAACAAGTTAAACTATATAAAGCATGTCATTGTCCGTATCAAGAGGGGTCGTTCTGATGGTAAGCAACCTCCACTTCCAATCGAGAGGTTGTGAGTTCGAGTCTCTCCAAGAGCAAGGTGGGAAGTTCTTGGACTTGGAGGGAAGGATGCCGATGGTCTATTTGGAAACAGTCTCCCTACTCCAGGGTAGGGGTAAAGTCTGCGTACACACTACCCTCCCCAGACCTCACTAAGTGAGATTATACTGGGTTGTTCTTGGTGTTGTTGTGTACACTATCCGTATCAATCTTCAAAAAATGTCTATTACCAAAATGCAATTGTTCACTAGTCAAAATGTAGTAAATCAATTTGCGATGCACATTTTGAATATGATTAAAGATTAATGTTCGCATACGCCGTCTTTACTCGTTATTAATTATGCAAAGAAACATAATTATATATGTAAATGTTTCTTTTGTATTTTACAAACTTATCTAAGGTACAGAACTAAACATAGATGCAACCCCTTTAAAAAAGTTAAATACACAAAGTATTCCATTCAAGTAATTAATGTGTATTGATAATCAGCAATATTTACAAATCTAACTAAGCACTACTGTTAAGCGGATTTTTTCGATTATACGCGATACTGAGAGGTAATACGAATCCAATGAAATATTGAAATATGCAAGTTGACTCGAACATTATCTTTATTTTTTTCTACAAAAACTATTACCAACAACTACAATCCAGTATAATCCCACTTAATGAGGTCTGCGGAGGGTAGTGTGTACGCAGACCTTACTCCTACCCTGGGATAGAGAGGTTGTTTCCAAATAGAAACCCGACATACTTCCCTCCAAGAACTTCCCGCCTTGCTCTTGGGGAGACTCGAACTCACAACCTCTTAGTTGGAAGTGGAGGTTGCTTACCATCAGAGCAACCCCTCTTGTCTACAAAAATTATTACCAAGATACAAAAATTGATCCATAATTACTATCAAATATGTTGTCAACGAAGTGATGATTCATAAACGCGCTCGATTGACATGTTTTATTTTTATATTTACATTAAGAATATTGTTCGATATGATTGTCACGATCCGAATTTTCCACCCTCGGGAGTCGTGATGGCGCCTACTAGTGAAAGCTAGGCAAACCAACTTTTTGAACAATTTACCTTTTTCCCATTTAATCCTTTAATAATTAATAGCCAACATTAGATAAAACAACGAAATTTATAAGCGAAAGACTATAATAATATTTTAATAAAGATACCAACGCCAATCCATACATGAACTACCCTAGACTGGTGCCACAAATCCACAAACTTTCTAGGAATTCTACAAATAAAGGTCCGAAAGATTTATTACAATAATGTTTCGGAAGTACGTAAAAGAAACAGAATAAAAGGGACAGGAAAAGACTCCAAGGCCTGCGGACGCCTACATGACTACCTCGGAATCTCCGAATGGACTAAAGGCAGCCACCCAAGCTAAGGTCCAAAAGCTGTTGCACTGGGAACTGCACACAATGCAGAATGTAGTATCAGCACAACCGACCCCATGTGCTGGTAAGTGTCTAGCCTAACCTCCCCGAAGTAGCGACGAGGCTAGGGACCAAACTACCAAATAAACATGTGCAATTAAATCATATACATCGAAAAATAAAAGCAGGAATGTACAATTAAGGATGGGAGGGAGAAACATGTTGCGGGGAACCATCAACTAAAAATAGAAAGACAACAAGTAAATACAAAGAACTCCATATATCAATTATCAAGAAGAATCAGAAATCAGACAAGTGCACGACATCACTCTTCGTGCTTTTGCTCTCGTCCTCACCATAAGAATCAATATAAACTGCACGGCATCACCCTTCGTGCTTTTACTCTCATCCTCACCATAATATCAATATAATCGGCATGGAATTGTATATCGTGCGGCACGACATCACCCTTCGTGCTTTACACTCTTCCTCACAAATACCATACACGGCATCACCCTTCGTGCTTTAACACTCTCTCACCAAAACAATACACGGCATCACCCTTCGTGCTTTAACACTCTTCCTCACTCAAACAACAATCACAAACAATAGGGGCAAGGAAATAAATGAAATCACAATAAGATCTCAGCAAGGGAACAATAGTACAACAATCAAATCCCGGCAAGGGAACAATATCAAAAGCATCAACATCCCGGCAAGGGAGATAGCATTAAAACAACAACATCCCGGCAAGTGAGACAATATAATAATTTTTTTTTTCCACTTTTACTTCACAATTCACTTCACAACTTGAGCTAATACTCTATAAGGTTCAATTGCCAATAATACTTCCACAATTCACTATACAACATGAACCAATGCTCTATAATACTCAAATACCTCAATTACTCCCACAAACTTTGCTCAACAATCGAAATCATCACAAAAGGGCATGAACAATACAAACGGAGTCATAATAATCATAATGTAAGACTCACGGGCATGCTTGACTCCAACGTATAGACACTCATTACCATGCCTATACGTTGTACTCAACAAATAACACATAGCAAATAGGACACAACTCCTAATCTCTCAAGCTAAGGTTAGACCAAACACTTACCTCGATGCCACGAATACAATTCATGCCTCAACTACCGCTTTACCTCTTGATTCCACCACCAATTCGCTCGTATATAGCCACAAATTACTTAATTATATCAATACTAGATGGCCGGTGCCCGTGGATCACACGGGCTTATGCCCGACACCATTGGTTGTGGCACATCTACAAGATTAATTTAAAAAATTCAACACCAAAAAAAAATCATACTTGCTTAAAGTGTATAGTATAATCACCAGAAAGGAAGTAATACTATCAAGTTGATTCAATGTGCACAACATGTTAACACTTCACAGTTTTTTCATGCATTCTGGAAAAAAGTTCTACATGATATTCAAAATATTATGAAATATACATTGTGAGAGATGAGCTATTTGCAGCAATTCTAATTTTCAACGACTATTCCAACCTCTAAATAGCTTTTTCTCGGAGCTCTGAATCGTTTACCTTGCCTGGTTGAGAGATATTGATACAACAGTTACAAATATGACATTGGAATCTTTACAAAATCTAAAGAAAAACTTCATACACAGATGACATACTTCTACAGTCTCTTGAATTATCACTGTTGCTGAATTGAAAGTGGAAGATGCTGTCTGAGGAAGAGTCCTTAACTAATTGATAAGTACCTCGAATTGAAAAATGATTACTCACATCCTTGAAAGATGGGGTATAGAGAATTATCACAAGAGAGAAGATATACCTATATGTAAGCTAGAGAAGCATTTTATTCTTCCAGGATCTCACTAAACAGACACTTGTCACTTGTTATATGCTTTTCAATGGCTTTAAATGGGACAAATAGAATTTTACAGAAAACCTTTATAAACTAAGGTCTTCTAAACTCAAACACTGTAAAAGATCGGAGAACGAATATTTAAAAAAAAACGGGGACCTATGAACAACCTGGATCTAAGCAATACTAAACCAACTTTCAATGTCGTATGATATTAGTGCACTCAACATAAAACAAAATTTTCTTTAAATGATAGAAGATATTGAGTTGGTATCTTCATATATGAATTGATTCACCTTCTCCAGTGCACCAGAAATTATAAATCACGAATATACACTTTCACAATATATGAATGTGAATGGTATCGCTAATGCTTTATATATACATCGATAAGACTTCGGTAATCAATGTTACTTACTGGTATCACGGTAGCATTGCGCCAGCCGCAATAGTTGTGAATTCTCGTTTTCCAGATATGTAAACTTTAGTTTCACCTTATTCTCAATGACTACTTGATAATAGATCTAGAAACACCAATCTAGTTAATGCAAAATGCACCTTTCACTAAGATGCTTCTCAATGGCTAACTAAGTAATTTGTAGATGGAAAAGAAACAAAGAGGTAAGAACCTCAAATAATGATAATATCCAACCATCAAGACTTATCCACCAGGGTGGAATTAACATTTACTAAAATGCACACAGATGAAATATAGTAATCGCAATCCGTAGGTCTATATTTTTAAGAGTCCAACAAGAACTTAACAAGAAAACAATTGAGACTCAATTTTTTTTCTTATAGGGCGAGAAACTATTGCATGTGATAGAAAAGCCTCAAATCACATACTATTGTGGTTTTACCATGCCAAGATATATAAGGGTTTGATTGTCTCTGTTTTCAAATAATTTTATAGCTCAGGAAAGCAATTATCATCACGGCCTCTTCAAGATTCATCTTTGAAGGGAAGATCAAACTCACCATTAAACTCTTCAGCTAAATCGAGAATTCGCTCAAGAAACAATTATTTTTCAAGAAAATATGTTCATTCGAATAAGTATTTCCCTCAAAAATGCAACTCACTTTAATCTTTGAGGAAAAATCAAGTCAAACTCATCTCTCAGGAGAAAACACCAAAATAGAATGAGACTTTAATCGTCGCATTTACACTAAATTTATAAAATAGGGAAAATGATACTTTCTGTTTTAAAAAGAAGAAAAATACTAATTATTGTGTCATTAATGACCATATTTTCTTGTATTACCAGCATAATATATTTTATCTTTTGGATCGATAGCATTTGAAGCAAAAAATCATCACATATTTGCCTATTTTAAAAATAGAAAAACTCAGGAAATTTTTTTTAAGTTAGATGGTAGATCAAGAAAGATAGTCTAGTTCAAACACTTTTGGATTGAGTTCCTGATGGTAGATCATAAAAGATCCTCTAGTTCAAACACTCCTAGGCCGAGTTATTGACTGTTTGACTTTATGGTCCAGTAGTCTACCTGTAACAGAGTAGTCATCTGTAATTGACTGAATAAACAGAAAAGTAGTTGTCAAGATAGGAATATGGGGTCTCTTGGATCATTTATTCCTTTTTCTCTCCCCAAACATGCTTATTCCAATCTCTTGTTTAAACGTTGCAAACTTTATATTTGCATCTAGATAAATGAGAATTCAAATAGTTGATGACCTTGTCGGATGTCTTTTTATGAATTCATAGCCATAAAAACGTACCTTTTGTTTTGAGACCACTATATCCAAGAATATACTGCAAGGTTTTACATACGTGTGATGTAGCTACTTTGCTTCCTGAAAAGTTTCAGAAAGTATTTTAGGCTTCTTGGTTGGCAAAACAACATAAAATGGAAACAAAACGAATAAGACTTAATAGAAAACTCCTCTTTTCTGGATTTAGTAAATAACAAATCGATGTCGTGTAAAAGGACGTCTCTTTTTTAACGGGCAACTGATGCAGGGTAAATGGGCGATATTAGTGCATTTTTGGTGCAATAATTTTCTTATTTGTGTTTTATTTGTTTAAGCAGCATACAAATACTCTTTGTACTCAATTATATTGTTCATACCAACTTACCTTACCTTTATTGTCTTATTTGTCAAAGAAATTCAGCTGGAAGTATGTAACAAATTGCAACTCGATATTGAGTTTGTAAATTGTGTATACATCTTTTGATGGCCACCGTACTTATCGAGGTAATTCAAACTATAACTTATTACCTTTCTTCATAAACTGACCACGTGGTGATACATACCAACTCACATCATCTTTTTCTTAAAAAAATACAAGACTGACATAAGTTTTTCTATGGTGTTTTAACCGATGGAATGGAGGCTGAAACGATGATGAGTTGAATCATTTTTGGCTTGTCTTGTACCATATTAAGTCATGTATATTTGTAAGCATATGCATGTCATGCGCATCGTAGGAACGCCTAATAATCAACTGACTTAGCCTTAAATCAACTTTTGCTGTTTTATCAAAGTTGTAAAAAAGTAAGCAAATGGAGCTGTTTGTCTGTAGTGTTTAATAGGCCAAATGTAACACCATAAATATACTAAATGAAATAAAGCTGATTATTTTTCTCTTTATTTTAGTTACATATTTCTACACATTCTTGGAGTACAACATCTTCAAAATCTATCTCAAACTAATTATAATTCATAGATTTATTTGTTGTTCGTCTGACCCTATGTCACAAAGATCAATGTCAGCCTTATCAAACTAAAAATTATATTGTCTTTTTGTCTTTATAACAGGTAAAAGTTTAGAAGTACGACGACAATAATAGATATCAACTATTTTCACCCAAAAATTTAAAAAGACTAAAGAGCAGAACCAACATGTATATTGAAAAATAAGAACCATGTACTTGAAAAAATCTAAGATATATTGAGACACATAATTAAATGCAGCAGCTAATTCCAATATATGATTAAAACATAAAATTAAACTTGAGATTACCCGCACTACACTGTATGGCAATTTTTCCGGTAGAGCAAATTTTGAGATATGAAACTTCGGCTGCTGCTTCCTAGTAACTATATTTTGCAATTGTTTGCTTTCACCTTATAGTAAATGTAAGTGCATACACATGAGAATCAACAATTTTTTTGGGGAAAATACCCACGTCAAGGACAAAGAGAAGAAACACTAAATCTGAATAAAGATCCAAAATTAAAAAATAAAAATTTAATCAAAAGACCCATAAAAAGGGAAAACCACGGAGAATAGACACAACAGAGGGTATACTTAAGTTGTAAAAGAAGCTAACCATGGAGATGACATTGTCAATAAAGTGAAAATTCGATGCATGTAGAATGATTATAACCTAAATACCAGAAAAAACCAACAAATCTGAAAGAATATCAAATTAATCAAATAGAAATCAACTAAAAGAAATCCCAAAACTCAAAAACTAGAATCGAAACTCACCGGCAACGGGCAGAACGCAGTGAAGCAAAATAAACTGAAGATTTCAAAAGAATGTGATTGAGCAAAGAAAAAACCAAACAAAGAAAAATGGAGAAGGCAAAAATGATATATACACAGAGAGACCCAAGAAACAAACAAGCTGTGTGACATAGAAGAGTAAAATTAGGAACAGGGCTTAAAGAAAGTGGCACCTGTATAACACGTGTTTACAAATGAAAGCAACTGAAATGCCTTAAATTACAAAAATGCCCTTCGCCGTACGTGAGAACTTTCACTTATTATATAGTTAAAATGCTAAATGAATAAATTCCAACGCATGAAAATATGTTTTCTAGAGTTTTCTCCAAAAAGTCAAAAATCGACCCCAGGCCCGCTTGGTTCAAACCCGAAATTCGAACCAAAACTCGATTACACATTCACCCTCGAGCCCGGATATATAATTGGTTTTGGAATCCGACCTCAATTTGAGGTCTACATCCCCAAATTTTAATATTCTTAGGTTTTACCCAAAATTCTCAATTCCACCATAAAAACCCTAGATTCTAGAATGAATCTTGTAAAAAGAAGTTAAAGAGTGAAAGAAATAAGTTAAAAATCACTTACTAGTGTTTTGGGGAAGAAAGGTTGTTTGAAAAATCACCTCATATGTTTTTAGGGTTTTGAAAAATAAAAAATAATTGAAAGTCCCATTTAAATATACCCCTCTCAGACCCTCTTCGCGGATCGCACAAAAAGGATTGCGGCCGCGGAGCTCCACCGCGGACCGCACAAAATTGAGTGCGGCCGCAAAGTCCCCTCCGCGGATGCACGAAATCATTGCGGACCGCACAGGCTGGTTCAGAGATTTGCAACTTTTCTGAACCTGCAACATGTATCTTCTAAGTCTAAAATATCCCAGAACCTATCCGAAACTCACCCGAGCCCTCGTGACTCCAAACTAAATATGCATACTAACTCAAAAATATAATATGGACCTACTCATGCGATCAAATCATCAAAATAAAATGTAAAACCATGAATTAAACCTCAAAACTCATCATTTTCATTAAGAACACTTAAAGTTTATAACTCTTCAACCGGAAGTCTAACTCAAGTCAAATAAACTCCATTTTCACCAAATTTCACAGCTATCATTTAAATACTATAACAACTTTGTACCGGGCTCCGGAACCAAAATACGGGCCCGATACCAATGGTTTCAAACATTAATTCTTTTCTTTATTTCATAGACAATTCAACAAAACAATTTCTTTCAAAAATTTCTTTATTTCATAGATAATTCAGCAAAACAATTTCTTTCAAAAATTAATTTCTAAGGCTTGGGACCTCGGAATTTATTTCCGGGCATACGCCCAAGTCCCACATTTTACTGCGGACCTCTCGGGATTGTCGAAACACGTATCCGAGTTCGTTTGCTTAAAATGTTGACCAAAGTCAATCATAATAAAATTTTAACTCTAGAAAATTTCTATTTCTCATATTTTCACATAAAAGGCTTTCCGGATATTGGTCCGGACCACAGACGCAAATAGAGGTGAGGTAAAAAGGAGGTTTAGGACTTGGAACACTAAATTTATTTCTAAAACAAGTGATGACATTTCGGGTCTTCACATCCTCCACCTCTAAAACAACCGTTCGTCTTCGAATGGACATAAGAAGGAAATACCTGAGTCGGGGAAAAGATGGGGATAACGGCTCCGCATATCAGACTCGGACTCCTAGGTTGATGAATCAGCAGGCTGACCTCTCCACTGAACACGTATAGAAGGAAAACTCTTCGATCTCAACTGACGAACTTGCCGGTCTAGAATAGCTACCGACTCCTCCTCATAGGATAAGTCCTTGTCTAACTAGATAGTGCTGAAATCTAACACGTGGGATGGATCGCCGTGATACTTCTGAAGCATGGACACATGAAACACTGGATGCACGACTGATAAACTCGGCGGAAATGCAAGTCTGTAAGCCACCTCTCCCACTCGATCAAGAATCTCAAACGGGCCAATGAACCTAGTGCTAAGCTTGTCATTCTTTCCAAATCTCATCATGCCCTTCATAGGAGACACCCGGAGCAATACCCGCTCACTGACCATGAATGTCAAATCACGAACCTTACGGTCGGCATAACTCTTTTGCCTAGACTGAGCTGTACGAAGCTTATCCTAAATGATCCTGACCTTGTCCAAGGCATCCTGTACTAGATCTATACCCAACAACCGAGCCTCTCCCAGTTCAAACCATCCAACTAGTGACCGACACCACCTACCATATAAAGCCTCAAAATGATCCATCTGGATACTCGACCAGTAGCTGTTGTTGTAGGCAAATTCTGCTAAAGGCAAAAACTGATTCCATGAGCCTCTAAAGTCGACACAAGCTCGGAGCATATCCTCCAAAATCTGAATAGTGCGGTCGGACTACCTGTCCGTCTGAGGATGAAATGTTGTGCTCAGCTCAACCCGTGTGCCAACTCCCACTAAACTACCCTCCAGAAATGTGAGGTAAACTGCGTACCTCGGTCCGAGATAATAGACACGGGCACACCATGAAGACGAACAATCTCCCGGATATAGATCTCAGCTAACCTCTCAGAAGAATATGAGAATGTCACAAGAATGAAATGTGCTGACTTGGACATCCTATCAACAATGACCCACACTGCATCGAACTTCCTCTGAGTCTATGGGAGTCCAACAATGAAGTACATAGTGATACACTCCCACTTCCACTTAGTAATCTCAATCTTCTAGAACAAACCACCAGGCCTCTGATGCTCGTACTTAACCTGCTGACAATTCAAACACCGAGCCACATATGCAACAATGTCCTTCTTCATCCTCCTCCACCAATAATGCTGCCACAAAATCCTAATACATCTTCGCGGTGCCTGGATAAATAGAGTACCGGGAACTATGGGCCTCCTCTAAAATCAACTCTCGGAGCCCATCCACATTAGGCACACAAACTCGATCCTACAGCCTCAAAACTCCATCATATCCTAATGTAACCTGCTCGGCACCTCCGTGCTGCACCGTATCTCTAAGGACACACAAATGAGGATCATCATACTGCCGATCTCGGATATGCTCCACTAAAGAAGAATGGGCGACTGTGCAAGCTAACACACGATTGGGCTCAGAAACATCCAACCTCATGAACTGATTGGCCAAAGCCTGAACATCCAAAGCAAGCGGTCTCTCACCGACCGGAATATACGCAGGACTGCCCATACTAGCTAACTTCCTACTCAAAGCATCGGCCACCACATTGGCCTTCCCCGGGTGATATAAGATGGTAATATCATAGTCTTTCAATAGCTCCAACCACCTTATCTGCCTCAAATTTAGCTCCCTCTGCTTGAACAAGTACTGCTCTTGTGATCCATGAACATCTCGCATGCCACGCCATACAGATAATGTCTCCAAATCTTTAACGCGTGAACAATGGCTGCTAACTCCAAATCATGGACCAGATAGTTCTTCTCATGAATCTTCAACTAACGCGAAGCATACGCAATGACCTCGCCATCCTACATCAACACCGCACCAAGTCCAATATGAGATGCATCACAATAAACTGTATATGGCCCTGAACCTGTGGGCAAAACCAACACTAGCACCGTAGTCAAAGCTGTTTTGAGCTTTTGAAAGCTCGCCTCACACTCATCCGACCACCTGAACTAGGCACCCTTCTGGGTCAACTTGGTCATCGGGGCTGCAATAGATGAAAACCCCTCCACAAACCGACGATAATAGCCTGCCAAATTAAAGAAACTCTGCATCTCTGTAGCTGATATGGGTCTAGGCCAGTCCTTGACTGCCTCTATCTTCTTCGGGTCTACCTGAATACCCTCTGCTAAAGCAACATGAACCAAGAAAGCAACTGACCCCAACCAAAACTCACACTTCGAAAACTTAGCATACAACTGACTATCTCTCAAAGTCTAAAGAACAAATCTCAGATGATGCGCATGCTCCTCCCGGCCGCGGGAATAAATCAAAATATCATCAATGAAGACTACCACGAACGAATCCAAGTAAGGCCTAAACACTCTGTTCATCAAATCCATAAAAACTGCTGGGGCATTTGTCAACCCGAATGACATCACCAAGAACTTATAATGCCCGTACCGAGTGCAGAAAGCTGTTTTAGAGACATCAGATGCCCTAATCCTCAACTAATGGTAGCCAGATCTCAAGTCAATCTTCGAAAATACCTTGGCACCCTGAGGCTGATCAAATAAATCATCAATTCTCGGTAACGTATACTTATTCTTGATTGTAACTTTATTCAACTGCCGGTAATCTATACACATCCTCATCGATCTGTCCTTCTTCTTAACAAACAACACCGGCGCACCCCAAGACGAGACACTAGGCTAATGAAGTCTTTTTCAAGCAAGTCTTGCAACTGCTCCTTTAACTCCTTCAACTCAAGCGGGGCCATATGATACGACGAAATAGAAATGGGCTGAGTGCCCGGAGCCCAATCAATGTAGAAGTCAATATCCCTGTGGGGTGGCATACCCAACAGGTTTAATGAAAATACCTCGGGAAACTCACGAACAACAGGCACATAATCGATAGAAGGAACCTCGGCACTAGAATCACGAACATATGCTAAATAGGCCAAACACCCCTTCTCAACCATATGCCGAGCCTTCATATATGAGATAACACTACAGGTAGAATGATCAGGAGTCCCTCTCCACTCTAAACGAGGTAAAACCGGTAAGGCTAAGGTCACAGTCTTGGCCTGACAGTCCAAGATAACGTGGTAAGGTGATAACCAGTCCATTCTCAATATGACATAAAAATCAACCATGTCCTAAAGTAACAAATCTACACGAGTCTCAAGACCCCCGATCACAACTATACATGAATGATGGACATGATCTACCATAATAGAATCACCCACCGGTATAGACACATATACCGGAGCACTCAAAGAATCACTAGGTATGATCAAATACGGTGCAAAATAAGATGACACATAGGAGTACGTAGATCCTGGATCAAACAGAACTAAAGCATCTCTACTACAAACCAGAACAGTACCTATGATAACTGCATCGGAAGCCTCAACCTCGGGCATGGCTGGAAGAGTATAACATCAGGGCTGAGCCCCACCACCCTAAACTACATCCATGGGACGACC